TGATCAGGTCACATGACCTCCGGGATCCCTCCTGATCACCAAGTATAGTGATGCCACGTATGATCAGGTCACATGACCTCGGGGATCCCTCCTGATCCACTATGTATAGTGATGTCACGTATGATCAGGTCACATGACCTCCGGGATCCCTCCTGATCACCATGTATAGTGATGTCACATATGATCAGGTCACATGACCTCCGGGATCCCTCCTGATCACCATGTATAGTGATGTCACATATGAACAGGTCACATGACCTCAGGGATCCCTCCTGATCGCCATGTATGATTTCACATATGATCAGGTCACATGACCTCCGGGATCCCTCCTGATCACCATGTATAGTGATGTCACATATGAACAGGTCACATGACCTCCGGGATCCCTCCTGATCACCATGTATAGTGATGTCACGTATGAACAGGTCACATGACCTCCGGGATCCCTCCTGATCACCATGTATAGTGATGTCACATATGATCAGGTCACATGACCTCCGGGATCCCTCCTGATCGCCATGTATAGTGATGTCACGTATGAACAGGTCACATGACCTCCGGGATCCCTCCTGATCACCATGTATAGTGATGTCACATATGATCAGGTCACATGACCTCGGGGATCCCTCCTCATCACCATGTATAGTGATGTCACATATGATCAGGTCACATGACCTCAGGGATCCCTCCTGATCGCCATGTATGATCAGGTCACATGACCTCCGGGATCCCTCCTGATCGCCATGTATGATCAGGTCACATGAACTTCCTTGATGGTTTGTCTTCCAGATGCGGAGGGGGTCGTGTCTAAGGGGGAGCACCGCTTACAACATGTGACCGTCCAGGTGAGGCGTCCTCCTCCATGGGACCCCAGGAAGGTCGTTCTCTCTGGTCTGGATCTGGACACACCGGAGGTTCTCCTGGAATTGTATGTGGAGGCCGTGAGTGGCCGGGAGACCTTCACCATTCACCGCGCAGCAGATAAGACCTCCGCCCTGGTCTCCTTCCAGCAAGAGCTAAGTGAAGACGGTGAGTGAGGGGCGGGCGGTGAGTGAGGGGGG